TCGGAGCTCGCCGGAATAAGTCTTCTAGCATCTATCAGTTCGGATGAGGCAGTCGAAATCCAGTGGTTTTTACTCACCTTTGGATTTGCCTTATTCACAGCTTTTACAGCTGTATCTATAGCTGACTGAATATTCTTCCAGGCTTCTCCAGGGTGAGCACAGCTGTCGTATTCAGATATGCGTTTAGCTAGTTCTTCCTCAAATAGGGATTTAGTTTCCTGATCGAGCTGGGGACGTGATGGTTTTACCGCCAGCTGTTTCCTACGTCCGTTCAGTCGTAAGCACACACGAGCCCGGACCAGTGCGTGATCGGTATCTACACACGTGTTCCAGAAGGAGCGACAATCTCCTACCGACCCACGCCAACGATAGCTTATTGCTATGTGGTCTATTTGTGTCCAGCGTTGGTTTGATGATGGGGGTCGCCAGGTTAAACAGTGTCTCTCCTTGTGTTTAAAGTTAGTGCTTACAAGAAACAAATGATTATCTGAACAGAACTGTAGGAGACGGTCACCGTTGTCGGTTCGCTGGCACGGAACTCCATAGGTGCCACCGACATCCTTCTCAGATTGACACAATTTCCCTACTTGAGCGTTGAAGTCACCAGCTAGAACGACTATATCTGAGCGTTTAGCCTTTCTCACCAAACTAGACAGCTTTTGGTAGAACTCATCCTTCGTTTCATCCGAACTGCAGTCAGTGGGGGCGTAGGCGGAGATTACGAAAAGGCATCGGCGAGTAGTGCAGTCCTTTCTCCTTCTTACTGATCCGTTCAGACGGACAGCACACATTCGGCTATCTACCGGGATCCAGTCAAGCAATGTCTTTTCTGCCCTAGTACTCAAAGCTATCCCTACGCCAGCTAATCCTCGTGAACTAGCTGTGGCATCTCCTGACACCCTCAAGGTGAATTTTGAAGATTCATCCTGTTGGCCAGGTGGGGTTAGGTGAATAACCACACTTGGGTCTTGTATGCGTGTTTCTGAAACACAACATACATCAATGGCTCGGGATGCCAGGGTCTTAGCTAGTGATGCTTGTTGTCCTATTTGGCAAAGTGTCCTAACATTAAATGCTCCTATATGAAATTGGTGGCGTGGCTTTAGGAGACTATCGGTGGTGGTTTTTTGGCTTCCGTCGTTTTTAGTGGACACAGAGTGAAGAGGGAGTGAGGAGCCATCAAGTAGAGGAGTTGCATCAGTGGGAGGAAGGCAAGGTAATGGAGATGAAGACAAAGATAAGTGAGGATTAGAGAGGTTTTGTGTGCATTTCGGATTGTGAGGGCGATTGTTACTTCCCGGCTGCCCACACCGTGGAAGTTGGTTGCGTGACCGCAGAGCCCAGGGGACAACTGCTTGAGGCCGGTCACACGCGGCCTGTTTTTGTTTGTTCTTTTTTGTTTGGTGTGCCTCAGTAGCATACTTATCACTCCTGCCCTGTGACACGGCAGCAGGAAGCGCGGTCGTTGTTAATCCGGGCCACGGCCGATCCGGCATGAAATTTTGTGAATTTGTTTGAATCATGGTATTGGATGGAGTAGCTGCTTTTTGTTTAACCGCTATCCAAACAACCTGCCTGGCATGGTAGAACCTCAAGAGACATAAGTCTCAGCCAGTATAGCTTGATTAGGTGCGTCGGTGGTACAGTGGTTAGGACTCTCGCCGACCATGCACATGGTCCGGGGTTCGAGCCCGCACCGACGCACACCTGATGTCTATGGTCGGTCTGCGAATTTGGGCTACCGATAACCATGCTGAAAATTCCATACTTGTACCAAAAATACGGTGTGGAATCAAGCTGTATATCAAAAATAAAAAAATAAAATAAAATAGGTCATTGCGGTGTTCAAGCCCGACCACCACGTCAAGGTAGCAGCTTTCTGTCGGGGTAGTGACAGTTTGTTTCCAGCCAAATATATATCCAGTGTGCCTAAGAACTTATCGAATTTAGTTGGGCCTGTGGGTATATCCCAGTTGATTTCAGGTAAGTTAAAGTCCCCACATAGGATCTTATGATCGTATTGTAAGTCGGATAATTGCTCCAGAGTATTAATAAGTTGGTTCTCGTAATTACTACAGGTGCTCTGTAGGTGCATCCAATTGACGCTATTGCGTTATTTAAGTGTACGTTAACCCATAGCGTCTCAGGCATGTGAAGTGTACTGCTGTCTAGCTGTGATACAGTAAGCGCATTCAGAAAGTACATGAGACAACCCCCTCCCTTACCACCTTCCCCGTCACACCGAAAGTGTGTGTAGTCACCTAAGCTTATCTCTTCATCCAGGATGTTCGAATGACACCAAGATTCAGTGATGACAATTATAAGGGGCGTGTATATTACTGTGAGTGCTCTGAGCATCGGTAATTTATTTAGAACAGATCTAGCATTTATGAGGACTAGGTAAAGATGAGAGTTGAGCTGAGCTTTTTCTTTTGTTGTCCATATCTGCATTGGTTCATCTTGTGTTTCACCATCCTCCTCGCCTCTCTTCTGTTAGCTTGCAGGTATCCGTTGAGAGTCATTCCTTGTCTTTCACTTTCCTCTTCTTTATTCCTAAAACGGATATACATTACCTTCAAAGAGTTATTTCCGACGTTTCTTCCAAGCAGGTTTCCTCAGTGGGGGCACGTAGTGTCTCCGACTTTGCTCTGATCTGATGGCTGTAGTGAAGGTTTCCCTTGTCCCCCAGTACCTGAATTACAGTGGCCTGTCTCCAGGTGTTTTGAGGGATTTCAGCTTCACGCTGAAGGTTGCTTGCACTAAGATAATGATCTGATCCCACATATATCCTCCTTTCCGACATTATATCGCAGACTGGCTGCGTGTCCACTGACGACTTGAGCATCATTGAGCAAAAGTCTATCTGGTTTTCGGTTTGTCCGTTGTGTGAAATCCATGTCGCTTTGTGTTTATCCTTGTGCTTGTAGACGCTACCTCCAACGACCATATTATCTAATACACAGAAGTCTGCGAAGAGTTCTTCGTTCTCATTCGTCATTTGGCTGAGAGCTTCGCGGGCCCATGATGAGTCCTCTTCTTTTATTATCTGTCCCCAGTTCAGCTGCAATTCATATCGCCTATGAGGATTTTGATATCACCATTTGGTGCACTTGTCTGTAGAAATATTCCTTCTTGTCTTATTCCGTGTTGTTTGTAGCACTGTGCGTATCATTGGATAATTGTGACATTCCTTCCTTCCTTGTGAGTTGGATGTTGCTGTGATTATCCTTCTGGAGGAGGCTGGCTGTCACTGCATAAGAGCTTTGGTTGCTGTTGGTGACATCATGATGGTCACTCACTGCCTCAATAGATTACTGACTCTCCGGTTGACAGTTTCGACAGTCCATATCCATTCCATCTGCTGTAGCAGATTCCGAGCACCTCTATACTATATCTTCTCATTTCTGTGGCTATCTGGGAAGCCTTCCCAGCCGGCTTCGTACATTGTACGAACATTCCATGTCCCAGTGCTTATCTTTCTTTTTTTGGAGTTTAGATTAGAGTGAACTTTGAAACGCTTAGTCTCAGACAAACGTGAATTTCTTGATACTTATTTAATTCAAAAGTTGTTTAAGATATTTGGAATGATATTCGTAGAAGTCTGAATATTTGTAACATGCGTTTCACAATTGTTGATCTTAAGATAATGTTATGAGGCGAGTATGTACTGATCCCCTTGTTTGGAGTAAAATGGTGAAGAGATGTTCAGGATGATAGACTAATGAATGACAGAATTTATTTCCTGATAAAGTATTTCGATACTCTGTGGTAAAACTTTAGAATCTTCTATTCCACCGATAAATAGGTCAACTCTACATCACATTTCGTCGTTTTGATATTCTTCGTATAATGTTATCTATACCACTTTACTTCCCAACTGCCTAATGTAATTCTGTCCCACCATTAAAGCATGTGAATCGTCTTATCTCATACTTGTTTTGTATTTAGTTAGTGCTGTTTGTTAGCTAACGAGAAGCTGTGAAATCAAGCGTCCCCAGTGTATTCTATAAATCTCATTATCTTTACTCTTATTGAAAATCTTTTGTTAGACATTCACTGGTTCAAAGTATGTTACCAGCTTCACTTCTGACTGACTGTATACCCGTTTTCATTCTACGATTGTGAAATAGCTGTTGGATTGGGGAAAATGAGCATCCAATAGAGAAAATAATGCTGTTTAACCGTGTAGTGCAATCAGTGGTGACAAGACAGTTGTTATTAACACTCTTTCGCTTCAATTACTCACTCAAAAGTATGCTGTATTTAGATGTTTATTTTGAATAATGAAAATAGTTGTTCAATCAAGTTGATAATCCGCATTGAAACATAATAACGCCAGAATTCAGCGAAGAAAATTCTCTTTTCGACGATTTCATTTTCACATCTGTACAGTCGTATATTTATACAAATGAATTGCAATAGACAATAACAATCAGCTTCCTTCTGGGTGTATGTGTGTGTGTGTGTGCGTGGTAAAGTTTGACAGTGTGAGTGAAAATACTAAAGACGCGATAATATTGATGTATAGGATTATGAGTCATAATGGTCTTGATTTTACCATGTAATTCATATAGAAACCTGTGTTGTCCTTCTTTATTCCATGTTCTATTTTCATTTCATCTTATTTCACGTTTTGTTATCATATTGTAACATTTGATCTAGTCTACTATTTTGACAACACTTCACTCATCCTATGTCTCCATCATCTTTTAATATTCACACATTCACATTTCCGAATCTGCTTTATTCTCCTACCATCTATTTCGTACATGTCTATTGAACATTAAGTTGACCTCTGTGTATTTATTCAGTTATTCATTCTCGTATACCTAATCACTTGTGACACACATTCAAATACACCAATATTATCGCACTTTTCTTCGCTGAATAATTCAATCGATTAAACTGTTATCGTGCAACAAAAGATGAGAATTCATACTTGATTGTATAACACTCATGTCAAGCAGGCATTTATCCTTTTTTATTTGTGGTATCTGAAGTATTTGATTGATATAAAAGGTAAAGGTAACAATAGTAGAGATGTTAAGTTCTACTCATTTATGTAGTCATGGACTATTTCTCTAACTGTTAAGTTTGATTCTATGAATAATTTGTGCATCAATAGTAAATAGTTTTATGCTTGAAAATAATCTCAGTAGTTCGGGTGTACTCAGACTTTGACATTAAATTGTCTAACAGTAAAACCTGATGCATTTTCCTATCTGGTAATATCAATCATGCTTTTTGTCACGTAATAAACGTTGTGTCTTCATTTTGTCTTCGTTCTCTGAGAAGTACTGCAAGGCTGGCCGATATGCTTTTGTCCGAACTTAGTGTCGAATATAGGTTGTTTCTTGTTTGTGCATTTTGACATGGAGAAGAAGGTCAGAGATACTGGCTCAAAAAAGGACTTCTGTATTTTATTTGGTTTGAGTAGGTGATGATTAGTTCCACAAAGCAATCGCAACTAGATTACTGAACAGAGTAATTCCTGGGAAAACTGACCAATGTGTTTTATCTATCAGTCTAAATTATGTCTTTTACATGTGAGACTAATGAGCTCTCACTTAGTCAATTGACCAGAATGTAACCTGTGTGTATTTGTTTCTTAAGTAAGATGTTTTTTTACAGTATTCTCAAACTGAGGATGTGATTATTTCAGTTAATGAGATAATAGTTTTCAGATTATCATCGTCAAAAAATTTAAAGGAAGTCGTTTTGAAAATAAATTACTTTCCAGTTTGCGTCTGAACTAGAAAGAGAGAGTAATTTGAAAGCAGAGGTGCATTCCAATCGAAAAGGTAATGAAAAATGTTGTTGTTTTACTTCGTTTAGTTTCTGTTAGAAGTTGACAGTTAGTTGTAAATTTCTTTTGGGGGGTCCAGTTTAACGTATTATCGGTGTGTACATCTTGTCCACCCTCATAATTCTATGATCTGTTACTTTCCATGTTTCCTGTATGTACTAATTGTTTTTTGTTTGTTCCCAAGGTATCTCTGTCCAATGAAATGGTATTCTATAGTTTTATTGCCTGGATTCAACTCATTAGTCTGACGAATTGGTTTCAAGAAGGTTATAATAACGTTGATATGGTATTTAGTCGTGTGTGTTACCGACTTTAGTGTTAACGTTAAAACGTGCTGACAGTTTCCAGAAAATTTGAAGTTGTGTTTCCATAAAACGGGCACAGGTGGATAAACCATTACTCCAGCTTTCTTCTCCTTCTGACACGATCTGCTCCATGTCACACTCAGATATCCAACTTGTGGCCTGATATCCAGGCCTTCTTCGAGGGTCTGGTTGTGTGATAACACTGATAGGTCTCCTCAGTGTGTGTCCAGTCCATCTCTATTTCCTTCAGCATATATTTTGAGTAGTAGGTTTTTCAACTGGTTGGCTGGTCATTTGGTCTTCGGCATCGAGGAAAGAAGGGAGATGTTGGTGAAAGTTCTTAGTGGGCATGTTGGGAATGGTTTCCATGATTGTATGTAGAAGCACTAGCGGACTTGAGACTAGTCTTAATAATTCGGTTGTTTGTATTTGTACGACTTGCTGTAGATCCGCATACTTATTTAAGACCAATGAATGTCTGTCTCATTTTCGCATTGTGAGCTTGACTGGCTTTGGCATCATCTTCCATACACCCGTAGTTGAAACGATGCTTCCTATCCTTGTAAAAGTGTCCACTTGGACTCCTTCCGCCAGCTAGTAGATTTTAGAGTGTTTGTGAAACTAAACATAAATCGACCACGAAGTCCACACCTGCTAAACGTTTTGCTGGTCCCACCAATGCCTGTTTTCTTACATTGCATGGTGTGGCGTTTGATCCAGTTCACTACAATCAGAAATATCATTTATGATATAAGCAGCTTTGTCTTACTCCTTAGTTTGCAATTACTTCCAAGGGACAACTATCATCATCATCGAATGCGAAGTGTGTGCAGAATGTAGAGTGTAAATAACATTTTACTCGTGTGTAATATGTTGGTGCGTGTAAATAGCTAACTATACACGACGAATATTATTATAGCAACAACTATGATAAACATGTAAATAGGGAGTAAATTACTGTCAGTGTCCCATTAGTCTAAGTGTTATATGTAACTAGATAGTGGATTATTAACAGCCGACGTCTTCTGAATTTCCATGTCTCACAGAGTTTCAATCAAGTTAGTGTGAAAATAGGTGTTTGCAAAGGGTGTTTGTAAATGAGTCTGTGAAGAAAAGATGTGAATAGGAAGACATTAATCCTTTTTCATGAATTCATCTACACTCGCAAATGTCAAAACAGGTAGAGTGATAACTTCTGATAAGGTTCTGTAAATAACATGACTTGACACGTTTTCATGCTTTGTCCTATCAGAGTCCAATTCATTGGAGATACAATGAACTATGTGACTCTGTAATTTTCTCTCCACGTACCAGTTTCACAACTGATAGCCATACAATTAGGTCATGCTGACGAATTCACGACATTCATGTTGATTTAAATGAGTAGAAGTTTGATTTTGATTTGTGCATAACTGAGGTAGACTTTGAAATTGGATGAGTGGACTTGTATTCGATAGTAAGGCGGGTAATATATTATTACCTAAACTCTGCAAAGTAACCGCTGTTTTCACATCTCATAGTGTTTAGTGATATTCTATGCTCATTCATGGACTTTTGTTTTAGATGCAATAGTCTCCTATCCAGTTTCCGATGATTCGAGAAATTCTTTTAACAATTTCGTTCCTTGGACTGGAAGTCACACAGTATTACAATATCAGTGTGGTACAGACGAAATCCTTCATCTAACTCGTCCAAACTGTCGGTGGACACTCTCCCAACCAGAAATTCGATCCTCAATGTGTTTGTTACTCAGCTTCTAGAGAAAGCTGAAATTCTCAAATGCGGAAGCATGATTGTCCTGCCTATTGGTTTGTAACCAATGGTTTCTGGTAGAGACGTTTCTGTGTGTTTCATTACTAGATGATTAGTTTGTGTGTGTGGTGGGGTACAGTTGAAGGGACTCAGCGTCTTTGGAAATAATTTGAACAGCATGTTAGGGTATGATTCGGAATGATGTGGGCGTCGGTAGCACAGTGGTGTAATGCTCGCGATCCAAGCAGGTGGTTCGGGGTTTTATCCCCGGCCGACGAGGCATTCCCTTACCTCGCTAAGTCAGTGATAAGACTGGTAAAGAGGTAAAGTTGGAAATGTGGCGAGCAACCTCATCCCCATGAAAATCAACACCACTGCTGTAGTAATTTCACAGCCCTAACTTGAAGCCGTATGTTCCACTTGGAATGTAAAGGAATAGAAAACAGTCAGTTATGTGTGTATGTTGTGCTATATAAATGTCTCAGAAAATGCAGCTGTGTGCAGGTTGTAACACATATATGTTGTGTTTTAATTGGGGAATTCGGTTATAATCTACTTAGTGAATATGTGAAATTGGGATGTGCTCATGAGCCTGAACTGTCACTGCATCATTTCACATAGTTTGGTAGCCAATTGAGAAATTGTTTGATTGTAGACTATATGCGGTCTCAATTAGACAGCATAGTGCAATGTTGACTGTTACACTGTAGTTAATAATTAGTGTTTATCTTAGTTATATATATCAAGCTTTTTGTAAATGGATAAGTTTGTTAGGATTCGCTTGTGTAGAAATCCGACCCCAGTGAATAAGTATATTGAATGAGGGTAGATTGATTACGTTTATATTGAATCAGTAACATATGCTCCTTATAAAAGAGATTGTCAAACATGTCAATTAGGTGAGAAGTCAAAATGTGATAGATGTAGCCATTTTCAAAAATGTTTCACATGAAGATATCAGTATAAGAAACTAAATTTGTACTCTCGTGATTTCATGCAGTTCTGATACCATCGTTGATCTGTCGAAGAAATGAGTGAAATGAATAAGGCGTGCATGATACTGTCACAGCCAGCAGTAGGAGTATTTTTGTGGTTAAATACTATTAGCTGGTGGCATTCATCATCGTTGAATAAGAAGTGGATGCAGAATGTGGAGTATAAAGAACTAACTATACACGACGAATTCAGTTACAGTAACATCTGTGATAAACATGTAAATAGGGAGCAAATTACTGTCGGTGTCCTATTAGGCTAAGTGTTATATGTAACCAACCAGATAATGGACCATCAGTAGTGCGTGTGTCAGAATTTAGATGATGCAAATATTGTTTATTCGTTTATGCTAATCCGATAACCAACCAATAAGACTTCTGCCCGTTGATTGGCATTCAATAATCAGCTCTATATTTAATTATTCGCTTAATCAATGATACCTTTTGTTGGAAAATTATAGTTGTATATTCATATTCACAGAAACTCAGTTACTGGTTTAGAAATACATTTTTCGAACAACAGTGTTTGAGTCTACTTAAATCTAGCCGTTCGCGTGAGAGGAAATGTGCCAGGATGTAATTAGTCGTGCATTGTTGTTAACCTCATTCGTGTGGAGATTCAGCTTTACATAGTAGTAGCATACTTTCCTCTGCTGACAACGTTTTTTCTCACCTGCACTAGTGTTCATTGAGGTGATTTTGAGTTACGCCAGTGAAAGGCTTTTTCCAATGATTATTAGTTGTTTCTGAGTGACTTAAATCTGGAGATGAAAAAGCATAACGTAGTATTAATTGATAATAGGACACATTTGATTGAATTTTAAAATCCACAGAATCGTATTGAGAGGATTCACGAGTGTTACTGATTCTTTCCAGTGATCTTCATATACGACATTTCCAGCGGTCTGTATGTGTTGTCGTGTTTGCAGTAAACGTGGGTGATTCCGTTCAGACCATGTGGGGATTGAGATGCTTTTATTAACTGAGTTGATGAATTTATTCATCCTTAAATAGAATAATAAATCCATCTAGAAATGGATATTTTTGATTTAATACAAACGTTCACTGAGTTCTCCATACACACAGCATAACTGAGATGACTTTTAGGAAGTGTCATTATTCTCTAGACAGCTGATTAGTAGTAGTAGTAGTATTAGTAGTGTAAGTGAAGTGTGAAATCCCCCTGTCTACTAGGAAACTCCACAGGTGTGCAAATTGAGTGCGTTTGTTTCACTCTAATGTGTGTAGATTTGTGAAATTATTCCGTCGTTTTAGTGTAGCTTCAGTCAAGATTTAGTCTAGTGGTGGGAAATGAACTAAGATTTTATGCCACTCACTCTGCAGAGGTCCTGTTTTGCTATCTTCGAATCCATTTTACATTGATTTGGCTGTCCTCTTCAGCTGGGTGCACAATTGCTCATGATTGCTTATCTCCTCCTTGCGCTATCTCCTCCATGTCACCCTAGGCTGACCCACTCGTTGTTGCCCACCCGGTGTCCGCTAGAGCGATAGTCTGGCGTGGGATGTCACCCAACGGTTTCCTCAGCGTATTCCCAGTCCATCGCCTTTTTCTCCTACATATTTATTGAGCTATCGGCTCTTGGTTGGTTTGTTGACAAAGTTTCTTGTTGTCAGTTCTTTCCGACCGACCGTATAACCCTTCATTATGGAGAGAATGTGGCAGCTGTTCATAAAAGTCTGCAACTTGTTGGAAATATCTCACGTAACGCGTTCGCGAAGGTTCTGGCCCACTTAAAAGGAAGTGACTTCACATTTGTGTTGCAAATCCGAATCTTGTTATTCATTCTGAATGCAGAAGATTTCCAAACTAGTGTCATCATCATTCATCTAACTCGTCCGAACTGTCGGTCGGTCGACACTCTTCCAACCAGAATTTCGATCCTCAATGTCTTTGTTACTCGGCTTCTAGAGAAAGCCGAAATACTGAAGCAAAAATGTTGTGGTTGCTTTTAAAGAGGAAGTGATTACACATAGTGACACTTGTGTGTTTCTCCATATCTCTCTGAACGATTACGACACGGTAAACTTATGGTAGGTAGGAAGAGAGTGTTTTTGGAATGATTTGAAGAATGTGAGCAGTGTTGAGTGGAAAGGATATCAGTCTCGGTGCCTTTTCGCGTTAGGTCGTTGTTACTGTTCACAATGTGATTGTCCCTACTGTGAAGGTGATTTATTTGGTAACTGAGTGAGTATAACACGAACTGTATTTCAGAATGAGTAAGTAGGCGTTTACCGGTTTTGAATTTATTGTTGTTTGATTGTGTTTGGTGGTGAGTCACTGAGGTCACACAAGATGAAATTAATTCACCTCAGCCGTTACTATGTTTATCTTGTTACTCGAAGATGACATTATGCAGAAGAAGTAAGATAATGGTTGGCATACTACCTGTGACACATATTCGCTGGCTCTAAGACCTGTATCGAACTGTCAAGGTGGCTAATTTCAAGTTAAGTAAGTTTTTGTAATCCGTCTCACAAATTCAGTCACAGCCACATTATTGCACTGCACGTTTTCATTCTGTTTGATTTGTCTTGATAATTAGGTCATCGATTTCAGTGTGGTGAATGTGGAAAGCTCTTCTCCTGTGCGGGAAATTTGAAGACTCACTCTCAGTCTGTTCATGAAGGTGAGTTTGTTGTTCGTTGTTTTTATTTCGTGTCACTGTTTTGATAATGTATTTCGCATTTGATGATGATGATGATAATAGCTTTATTCAAAAATAGTACTTGCGATAGAGAATGGAGTTCTCAGCATTTTACTACAGTATTGCATCCAGTTAGTAAATTAAAAAGAAAATAAAATTCTACGTAGATTAATGGTAATCTTAGTTAGTTTTGAAAACAACATATTGGCATGTTGGTAGAAAAGCCAAAATTAAACAGAGTGTTTGAAGGTGCTAGAGAAGTAGGTTCTAGCATATTTACTGGCGTAATTAGAAGAAAGAAACAAAGCTGCACATAACAAAAAAAAGAGAGAGGGAGAAAAGGAAATGAAAGAAAGGAAAACGTTGTACCTATAAATGATATGAGTTGGAAATACGAGATCCAGTTTTTCTGCTGACTATTTATTAAGTGTTAGGTTTCACATATAATCCTTCCTTTATCGCACAGACCACGAGCTAAGTAGGGTATGGTTGAGTTTTTCTATTTCTTAGTGCGAGCATATAGTTTTCTTTATAAGCTTCTGCTTTGTCCTGAAGAGATACAAGGGGAGAGTTGTGAATGAAGAGGGTGGTGTGAGTTAGATAGAATGGATTGAGCCCATTTTTCACATGAGTCCATGTGCCTGTCAACGAGAATATTAACATGCTGGCTAAGTGGCACGTAGCTTACCCTGCTGACAACCTTCAACGTCTTGCGTAATAAGGTATAATCTTTCTTCAGTAGCCCAGGAAAAGCTAAGGGGGAGCAATAGAGAATAATAGGCAGAATGTCGTAACTTCTTGATGTAGAAAGTAAGACGGAATATTTTCTTACAAATCATCAAGATATGAGACGATCAGAAAAGATCAGAAGATAGAATGACGCCTAGGTATTTAATTCCTGACTTGGTTTCTATTTCAGTGCCATCAATGTTGCACACCTCGTGAGTGGTAACCAGTTAGTTTAGGTCAGATTTGTGCCTAAAGGTGAAATTAACTGTTTGGCATTTGGAGGGATTTAAGGTGAGACCGTTTTCCTTGGACCATTGGCTGCTTTCTGATAAAAAGCCGTTTTAGTTTAGTGCAGTCACCTTGACATTTGACAGGCAAAGATACAGTCAGGTCATCAGCATATTTGACAAAATAATATCATTTGGAGATGGTAGCTCATGTAGAAAGGAAGAAAAGAGAAGCGGGGAGAGTACAGCACCTTGAGGGACACCAGCTTCAGTGAGCACGGCAGAGGAGGATTTGCCTTTGTATACAGTGTACTGCATTCTGTTTCAAAGTAGGAATGCAATCACTTAGTGAGCCAGGACTCAGTTTGTGTCATGGAGGGCTTATTTAGCAAGAGACATCTAAGTACAGAGTCGAAAGCAGAAGTGAAGTCAAGAAACGTGCAGCGGGCGTATTCGGCACCTTTATCTAATGATGAGACGATACTGTTGTGTAAGACGGCTGCAGCGTCTAAAGTACTCCTACCCTGTCTGTAGGCAAATTATTTGGGGTCTTCGAAGTTTTTAAGGGAGGGTTCGAGTTTAAGAAGTACTAGTTTTTTCATAAGCTTTAGAAATGGGGAAGTGATGGCGATGGGTCTGAACTTTACGTTCTCGCTATTTCCAGGTTTAGGGACAGGGACTATTTTAATGTCTTTCCATGGAACAGGTACAACGTTTTCGGAGAAAGAAGCATTTAGGATGTTAGTTAAAGAAGAACATAAAGCATCTGCGCATTGTTTTGGAACGTATGCAGGTATGCCATCAGGGCCAAGACTAAATGTGGGCTTAAGTGTTTTAAGACATTTTAAAGCATCTAGAGTGTTAAATTCCTGGAAGTTATCAGCTGCATGATTAGTAACGTTAGAAGTGCTTATAGTAGAAGGAGAGCGTATAAAAGACTGATTAAGAGCGTTAACATCATAAGAGAGAGGGAGAGGCTTACCATTGTCAGTAATTTCATTGAAAAGTTTCCACATGGTGATAGGAGATTTGCATGACAAAAGTGTTTGGTTATAGATAGCATTAGGATTTTTGATTTCAGATTTGATTTGAACATTAATCTTTTTAAGTCCTAACTTATCTTTGAGTTTACATAATGTTTCTTTTTTGCCTGCGAAGTTGTTTGAGATGAGGAGACGAGAAGCGGTCAAGGCGTTTGAATAGTGTTTGTTTGGGACAGCGTATGTCGAAGCAGAACTTGGGATAATCCTTAATATCGGTGATTGAGTCATCTAATGTACTTTCATAGAATAAATCTCAGTGAGTATTTTTAACAAGCATCTTAGATTGAGTAGGTTGTCAGATGTGTAGCATCTTTGTTGTGTTTTCACAGACATGTGTGAGAAGACTTTAATATGTGTTTTGTTGTATATTTTTGGTAAAACACGGACATTACAGTGATCAGAGTTAAGTGTCGGTGAACGCCTTCGTGTTTCATATACTCCTTCGTTCGTAGTAAAAACTAGATCGAGTGTTTTGTCAAGTCGAGTGGGAAATTTGACTATGTTTTTTTGACCAAGTGCTTGAAGAAAGGAGCAAACTGAGGAGTTGAAATCCCCAGTAATAATGGATAGATAGTTGTCAAAGTTGGCAGCAGCAAACATTTTTCTTATTACAGCATTGACGATCTTGTCGAAATAAAGTCCTTTAGTGAGATAAGATTGTCATCATACAGTTCGTGTAATTACGTTTCTTGTAATGTGATTATGGCAGTATTATGTTAAGTGTCAGTGGACATCAAGGATTGTGGGTACATTATCTTGTTTGGCAAAGAGCGGCAGTTTGTGTTCATTATTACAGGGACCGTAGTTAAGTGTATTGGTGTACGTTTGAGAGCTCTCTGCCAACCGCTACGATGTTTCCTCCTTGATTTCTGTGGAATATGAATGTCATTTGGTCGTAGATGACTGATAAAGTTACGAGAGTAAATGATTCTGTTAGAATTCATATTTAGGTGATAAATAAATGTTAGTAAACAGTAGACTGGATGCAAAATGTAGATATTATAGTAGCTGGCCCGAAAATTCGAACAGGCCGCCAAGGTCAATTCAAAGGCTAGGGGGTTGTAATAGTGAATGACGGACTTGGTCACTTACAGAAAATGTGATACTGCCTTTTATATGAAACATGTTTATTGTCAGTGTGCGTGCGCAATATGTGAAAAATTTGACTTGTTAGAAACCTGAACGTGCACCACTTGGAATCAAATGGTTTCATGACTGAGTGGAAATTTTCTGTTAAAAATGCTATCCAGGATTCGGACGCACAATATCGTACTGTTTCCTGTCAGTGTGAAGTTAGTAATTATCTATCTGTTTTGTGTTTATTTCCTATTCTCAATTCGACTCATCAAAGTGATGTGCTGATGTGTGCATTGTGGTGAGAAAGATGCGATCTTATGGATTTTAAAGCAGAATGATGTTGACAAACTGGACCAGATGCTTGAAAGAGGATACGGTCTTGGCTGGCAAAATCTACTTTATTGCTGTCTTCATATCTCCTGAACTGAGTGTCAAATGCTACACTGAAATCAGAATGAGATTTGGATTAAATAATGGAGCAGGAGCTATTTCAGCCGGAGTAGCCTGAGATTTTTGAGTGTGTGTTCAACTCGATAATTTCAATTCGTCCTAGTTCAAGGAGTCTGTCCAACTCCGATGAATCCAACATACCCATCGTCATCTTGATTGTAGGTCAGTCGAGTTTCATTGGTTCTCAGTGATTATGGATCAAGAAAGAACACACAAGTAGACGGAGAGAATAAGCATTGCGAAGTATGCCGACTAGTACATAATGAAGTTATTAAAATCATATGATGGTGTGATTGGAAAGGACGCAATCGATGGACAGGGTAAATATAGACCCCATATGAACTAGTAGACGTTACTGGAATAAGAATGTAATCTGAGTTTGTTTATTTAGCGTCTATGTATGTGTGACGTGACGAAATGCGCATCCTGGATTCCACTGCTAGCCACCATCCACCAATTGTATACTAATTAAATGCCCAGACATCGTCGAGGCACCTGCACAAGAAGCCGACATGTCAACCTGAGACCGAGCACTTCGGTCCAATCAATCGACGGGAAAATTCAATTCAATAATTGATCATAACTGAGATGACTAGTTCATTCGTTAACAGAACAATGAATCCCTGTAGGAATGAATAACTTGCATCTAGATTACAAACCGAAGTACTCGATATAGTTTAATCGTGACAGTGGTATAATTCAACGTCCATTGTTTTATATGCACAGCATAATGGTGATGACTTGACATTTCTCTAGAAAGCTAGTTAAGAATATGAATTAAATGTGAAGTTCACCTCGATACTGTTGAAATCAGTTTGAATAAGATGTTAGGGAATTCGACAACAGTGCAGATTGATTGTGTTTGTTCCACTGTCATGTGATGAGTGGATTTTAAGAAATATATCACATGTCTTAGATTAACATGATGATATAGGCACAGTCCGCTCACATTCTGGGTGGCAGTAATGACGAAGTGAATGTTCTATGTTGAATTGACACATTTCTGTGTATAGTGTGAATGTGAACATCTGAACGAAAGTGGTGAATTCACCAGATCTCCGTTATCTTTTTTTGTCACAATGTGGCGTCGTATTCAAGGGTAATATTTGCACAACAGTGTTTGTTACTGTTTGTGTGTGAATAAAAAGTTCAGAGAGAATACAATAGCCAGTTTTCATGAATTCCAGTGTGATTGAAAATGTCTAGAGAAGTGAGGGATTGAAACATTTGGGAATAATTTCATGAATAACGGAACTCTGTACCCTTTAATGCAGTGTCCAAACGGAGTCCAACTCAAAGGAGATATGGTGAACTACTAGATTATGTGACTTTGTATTCGTATAGCAGTTGGATTATGGTCCATCGTACAGCTAGATCATCTGGATGAGTCGATGGAATTCACGTGAACTTAAATGGTTAGAAGTTTGAGTTTTATGTGTGCATAACGTGAATAGGCTTCGAGTTAGGTGTGTGGGTGATGTGGTATTTGTTGATTCCTCCACTGGTGTATTATTGAATTCAGAGAATTCGGATGGTCTGAAATATTTGAAATTTTGATCTGGCTTTCATGGAATCTGAATGTACGTGAATAGTTGGACGTTGTGTTTGATATGTGTTTGAACAATATATGTGAGATAGGCTCCAAATTGGATGAATAAACGCATATTCGTTGGTGATGTCGGTAACACCTTATCACCTGAACTGTGAAAGGTACCAGTCGTTGTAAACCCAATGATCGAACGTAGGGACGATTTATGTGTGGTACAGTTATCGAAAGAACGGTGTTGTAGAGACTGCATAAATAATTTATCTATATCAAGCAAAATATCCATCATCTACACTCTAACAATCAAAATTCCGATCCTCAAGGTCTTTGTTATTCAGCTTCTAGAGGAAGCTGTAATTCTCGTCTGTCAGAGGATGAGTGTTGTGCGTGTTGTTGTATCACCAATGATTCCGTATAGGGATATTTCTGTGTGTTTCATGACTATACGATTCGAATGTGGTACAGTTGGAGGTGGTTGGTGTCTTTGCGTATGATTTGAGCCGTATTTTGTATATTGTGATAGTAAAATGAATTTGATTCGATAAGGTTGACAATTGAGATAACAGGATAAAATTTTGATTTACATAATTCTGTAATGTGTGTATGTTGTGTTGTTTTAGTACTTCGAGGAATGCAACAGTATGCAGGTTGATATGTCACCTGTGAGTATGGGGAAGCTGGTGAGCCCGTGTTTAAGATTGTGTAATAGTAAAATGTGTTAACAGGTTGTTTATTGAAATAAACAGCTTATGAAGAAGAAGTATCAAAGTATGTTGTACAGCAGTTGGATAGCGTAAAGAAGAGAGTAGTTATGCTACCACCACTAATACAGATAATGTCAACAATTGCATTTGAAATTTCGAATAGATCCTGACATAAATAGAAGGAAAATCCGTCACAATTATAATTTGATTAATATCACATGACGAGTTATAGTTGTGTGGTGTTAGGCATTCTTAGTCAGTTTTCATTTATGAATTGAATACGACATAGCAATCGACAATTGTGGTGTATAGTTCGGCATAACATTGTCATTCCTAACTTCTTCGAAGGATTTCTGAGAACATGTGAGTTACACCAGTTACCACCTAATGACCATATTGAGTAAAGGCGAGTAATGTGTTCTACTGGAATTCTGGTGACTGAATTTGATTTGGAAAGAATTACAAAACAATTTCTAATTTCATTAACACTTTATTCTGGCCAATTTGTTTCAATTTTAACTGTCTCATGTGAGGCGAAATTTATCTATGCTTATCGGAAATGATTTCTTGTATAGTAGAATAGGATATGCCTCCTATAGCCGTCTCACCGATTTTGATATTACTGAAGGGATTATCATGACAAACCCATTCTCCTCTGAGTTAACTCAACAGATTCCATGTCACTATGTTATCCTTCCCATTCTTCGTATTCATAATTAGGTAAAAGATATCGGTGTGACGTGTGTGGGAGGGAATCCACTGAAGCTGGCGATTTGAAGAAACACATGGAGTCAGTCCATGGAGGTGAGTTTGTTGTTTTGTGTATTTATTATGCACCACAGTTTCATGTTGACTTGATGAATTTGACGTTTCACTATTGTGTCACAGACATGTAACTAATGTGGTTCCATCTTGTGCATTTCAAGTGATTGATGCAGGTGTAGGGTGAAACTGTTCTGCCAACGATTCGGTAATTTTACTAGGATTTCCTTTGTGAAATGCATTTCGGAGAATCGGCTTTTACGATTTTATTCGTTGGTGATTACCATGACTGGGATTCCAGGATATATCTTGTGAGTTTAGTCACCGCTGTTTTCGTGTAGTTTGTTCTTGTAAATTCACTCACTTCCTTGGTTAGTGGTCGTATGTTGTGTAACTAACTCACTAGCCCACAGTCTCGACTACATTTCTTTTAATTACACATATGCTGTCGTTGATTGTGCTGTTTATATAGTCGACGGACGAGGATTTAATGTGAATGGCTATATTATGTCGTAAAGTGAAATAATGTAATGCTAACTGCTTTTTCACCTGATGGACTTTAACACTTCATTGAGGACACCATTTAGGGAAATGGTGAGAACTCTACAGTTCATTTGAATGTCTTCACTTCCATGCATTCTTTGTATTTAAAAATAGAAATTTAAATAGTAGTTATAGTAATAAAGCTTTATTTCAGAATATATATATATATATATATATAAACATATAGCAGAGAAATGGTCTGCGTAATGATTTCTGGAATATTTCAGGTTAGTTGAGGATTAACTTACAAAGTACTAATCTGAAGTATATAATGTGACGCTATCTTGATGCATATGAAGAGATAACCATTTTTGTACATTTTATCTTCATTTACTTCAAGAATCGCGAAGTGTTTGGTTGGAAGTTAATTGAATGAACACACGAGTTCATGTAGTAGTAGTCACCTGATATAATTGCACTAAGAAATGCAGAAGAGATTAGGCATTGTGATGCATGGAAATTCTGGTAGCCCAGTGATTTAAGCAGGCCGCCGTTTGATTGAAAGTGTCAAATCGATACTTGCGCTGTCTTCTTTATATGATCAATGTTGTTGTTTAGGCAGGAAAGTCACTTGTTGAGTAAATTATGAGAACAAATACCGCTTTCTTTTTATTTGTTTCAAGAAGAAAAGCATACTCTTATCTGCACTACTACAGGCCAGTATACGCATTTCGTTTGTCCCATACTGATCATCCCAGTGTCGTCAATTGATAAATGCAGTGCTAATACATGTGTTTGGACGTTTGGTTCATGAAAACAAATGCCTTTGACTCGGTCGCCTAATTTTGTCAGTGATGGATTATAGTTTTTGAATCGACGGTGTTGACACACTCTTGTCAAATTTTAGGTGGAGTTATGGCAGAATAGATGTGGCGAGTCGTATCTGCACATTTCTGTGTACGGTGTAAACGAAAGCATCTTAGAGAGAATTCACTACATCTTTGGATACTCGATGTTTCATAGTGTGCCAGCCAGTCGATTGGGCATGCACGTACAGGGGTGTTTGTAACCCAGTGTGTGAAGAAAAGATGTGAATAAAAGTGACTATTAATTTCCCCAAATTCGACTTCACTTGAAAATGTCAGGGAAAGTAGGATGAAATTTTCAAGACAAACTTCATAAGTAATGTGACTCACTTGGTCTTTCATGCTGTGTCCGAACGGAGTCCATCTCAGAGGAGATATGATGAACTATCGATTTAAGTGTTTTCTTCCCCATTTACCAGTTCGATTACGATCAGTCATACAATTAGGTCATCGAAATGACTTTACAGAATTCAAGTGAATGTAAATGATTATATTCCGAAAACCTGAAGTAAATGTGTTGCACATGTTGTTGTTTAACCGATGACTGCACATCGGGACATTTCTGTATTTCATTACTAGATGATTAGTATGTGGAACATTAGATGGGATTGAGTGTCTTATAGAACGTTGTGAACATTTTTAGTAGGGATAAATCGAAACGAGATTAATTCCGGTGTCATTTAGCGTATGGTCAGGGCAACAGTTGTTATAGTGAAGGTGAATGGTTTTCTGATTTGGTATAGCACGAAGTGTGTTTCAGAGTCGATCAATAAGTGATGATATGATGATCAGTTGTTCAAGGTATATTGTGATGGTGTGATACAGGCAATGTGTAAATTCAGGCTAAATTATCCTTAGCGTAAATACTGTAAGGTAGTATTCTCCGGTGACAGATTACAGGGAAGATTATGGAATATTCAGTTGCTCTCTTCTAGGTTGGAGGAAGTGAGCTGGTAACTGCACATGTAAGTTTTCAACGACAGTATCATGTGTTGAAAATTGTCTCTATTTATCCACTATTTGGATCAGACCAAATCATTCAATGTTACCTGTCAGATTGACGTCAATTCGTAGATGTCGAACTTGTATATGATTGTATTCCCTATCTGATAAATTTATAATGTTGTGCTTCCAGGAATCCTCTGATCAGGAAGGATAGCTTTTGTCGTGCGTTTCCATCAAAACTGTTTGTAGTAGTGTGAAAGAATTATCGAAGAATCTTACTGAGGTCACAGATAATTAGAGCAAACAGTTGTCCTCCATAAATCGTTCGTCAGTATCTATTATTTTGATTGCATTAATTTCAACTTGCAGCTGGTAGTAAAATTGGTTTGGAATTATGCTGATAGTGGAGTTGTGGTTGAAACAGAAAAAGAACTTACATACAATTGACTGCTCTACGTTCTTATTTGGACAGCTGCGGTTGTAAGTATTCACAATCGTATCTAGGAAATGTCTAGCAAGTCAGGCCTGTGTGTGTAATGAACTTCAAAGGAGCAAGTAAAATTTCCAACGGTGGTATCTCGTGTTTGGTGTTTCGGTGAAGAAGGCGTGAGCTGAGAAGTTGTTTGGAAGCAGTCTCCTCAATTCGCTTCTGTCCAGGAGACTGATTGTAGACTGATTCAGTCCACTAACTTCTGATAATAATGTGGATAACTCGGAGACTAGTAATCATTTCATTATTAAGATTCTGAAATGTTCCGGACTGTTCATTAGATTGCAGTCTATCACGTGTGCGAGATTCGTTGGAATTATTCTGATCCAAATGCAAGCAAGTGCCAGTTAAGGAAAGTGTGTTGAAATTATCATGAGATATACAAATTGAAACAAGATTTTACATAAAGCTGACTGGTTAGGTGAAAGTGCATATCCTAGTAATAATTGACAACAACACATATTTCCTCGAATTTCAAAACCTGTATATTCCTGGTTGGGATATTCACAAGTATACCGATAAGGTGGTTCAGGATGAATTTTCGGAACAGTCTTCTCGTTACATCAACCACTTAAATCCATTCGTACACCTTATGACAACTGTTCAAGTGTTATTTCGTGGCTCTATCTCTTACTTCTGTTCTCCTGGACTTACAACAGTATGCCTTCGTAACCCCATCTTAACCTAAATGAAGAAGACACCCATTTTACAACATCGTTCATACTCTGAGGAACAAAATCTGCCGGAAGATTCAAGAGGTCTACTGGCGATTGTTTGGTAGAATACGATTACACGTATTGAAAGCTGACTAGACACAAGCATGGTGGCTCCGCCTAAACAAACTGGTGTCAAGCATTGGTGCAGTTAAGCCAAGATGAGTTGTCTAACCAATAAGATCGTCAGATGATGCAAATAGGTGCAAGTAAAGGTGAAGTTTTCTCACATGACGACAGCATATTATCATTTACCAAGTGCGAATTGTCAACAGCTAGTATATATTCATGTTGTTCGACCGATATATACAGTATGGGTTATTGATCAGATTTCATATCAGATTTTTGAATTTCAGAATTTGATTTCTTTATAATATGTCTATACTTCAAGTATAATGGTTCTTATAAGGCTAAATGACAGCAGATTACAATCAGATTGAAATACTTAGTGAATAAAGACCAAAGATAACAAACCAGATCATTTCCACTGGAATTTGTGTCCGAAGTGAGATATTCCTGTGTTACTCCACACGACATTTGTGTCCACTTTTGTTTTTGTGACTGTTGGTGATTTTTCTGGCCGAATTCCAAATGATGGTCGATTCAAGAGGCCTTCGAAGCGGTCAGCTTAACGGTCCGCTTGTCTCACCTATATGGTAATTAGGTTCCCCTGACCGTCTTTCGTTGGTTTTATCTGCATTGGTCCTTCCTGGAAAACTATAGGCGTGGTTATCTGCTATAATTTGCTGAGGTCTCTTTTACCTGTCGCCTGCCTTTTCTGATTCAGTTGCCTACCGGTATGTTGTAGAATTATCTTTTGTCTTTCCTAGCACTCTTATGCATTTCTTTATTCAGTGCAGTATACATTGAGCTAAGCTTCTTCTTCTGTTTTCCATCTTTGCATTGGTTTTTCTATTGTTTCACCCTCCTCCTCGCCTCTCTTCTGTTATCTTGCAGGTGTCCGTTGGGAGTCATTCTTTTTCTTGACTCTTCTTTTTCATGAAATGGTTGTGCATGTTTTCTCAGACGTCAGCTTCAAAGAGTTACTTCTAGTGGTCTTCCATACAGGTTTCCTCAGTGATGCTACGTAGTGTCTCCGGCTTTGCTCTGATCTGATTAGCTGTATGGTGAGGACATCCCGTGTAGTTGTGTCCTTCAGTTTCCTAAGTGTTGAACGTGAATTGTGGTCTGCCTTCAGTTGATTTGAGGCTTTCTACTTGACCTCAGGGGTTCCTTGGACTAGATAATTGTGTGAACTCACATCTGCATCCCATTATGAACCGTTTGAAGCAGTTTAGATTAACTAATTTTTTGTTTCACATTTCGTTCACTAGGATGTCGTACTGGATCACAGAAATTGTTTTATTGATTTTGTAGCCAACTATTTATATGAGTAGAAATCATGTCGTCATTATTGTCCAACTGAATAATATCTACGGAACTGTGATTATTGTAAAAATGAGTCGTGATCTATTAGTAGATTTCAAACTGTTGAAAATTCATGAATTGAGATTGTAAATATTTAAATTGGTCAGTCTTTCAAACCACAAGATCAACTGAGAGTGCACACTCTATTTTCACATTTCAGTGAGTGATGCTGCAAAGCACTTGTGGTGATTCCCTGCCATTTGTATATTAAGATGAATATCAGGGCATGTTTCTTGTGCGACATCAAAATGCGTCCGACATAGATTGAAGTTATCACACATTAAATGACACCATGAGCATTCATAATAAGTGTGGATTGCCACTGTGACAAATTTGAAACCAAATATCCTTGAAAAAAATATTTACAAATGCATAGTTGATATTTCAGACAGCTGAGTTAAATTAGTAATTCATCTATCAAAGAACATCAGATTTTTCAAGACATATTTTCTCGAGGAAATATCTCGCTTTTATTTGACTACTGTCAGTTTTCGCATACAAATTAGAGACACCTGTGCCTAAAATAGCATTGAATGGAAATAAGTATATTGGTGTTGATCTCGTAATTGTGTCATGATTCACTCAGTTTAACCTGCACGAAGTAAGCGCACAGCTCTTACATTCTGTGTGAAAGTACTGGCCAAATACAGGTAGTCACCTCTATTTACTCAGTTTTGCGCATTTTGTGAAAATGAACAAGTTAGCGAAATTAGCAATTCCACTATAACGTTTGAGGTTTCATCCTTCATTTAATTTTACCTGAAAATAGTGGATTAAAAGTGCAGTGAAGCAAGTGAATTTTATGCAGATACTCAAATTTTCCTCAATTGCAAATTCTTCACTTCGCACACACTGCACATTTAAAGGTGTAGGTTTTGAAAACAACCTGTTGGTGTGATTCGTGTGCTTATATTTAGCTCTATCATTTAATCCTGGAAACACTTTACGCAAACGTCTACGAGATGATTTTATCATTCTCCTGTTCACTGTATGATTGTCTTTACTGCGAAAAGCGAATCAGTAGCTAATTTAGTATTACAGAAACTGTGGTTAAGAAACCAGTGATCTGGTGATTAGTGGATGTGTCGTTTATGTTTTCAATTTCATGTATGTGTTTGTCTGTCTGAATTGGAAGCACTGAATTTATATAAGATGAAGTCAATTCACATTCAGCGCTACCTTTTGTTTGAACTAGTATTTCCGCAATGCTGTTTCTCGAGAAAACGTAGTACTGGCGAATTTACAATGTGTAACACGGTTTTACAGAGTCTTGAGTATGTGTCGAATTCTCAAACACACTTAATCAAAATGCAGTCGCTTATTCGTATTTGATCAATAGTGTTGTCATTATATTTCACTTCGCGTTTTCATTCTCTGTATTTTGTATTGATAATTAGGTAAACGATATGAATGTGACGTATGTGGAAGAAACTTCACTGTGGCTGAGAATTTAAAGAGTCATAAAGAGTCTGTTCATGGAGGTGAGTTTGTTGTTCTGTGTGTTTATTTTGTGTCATTACTTTTATGTTGACTTGATGCATTTCATGGTTTGACTATTGGGTCATACAGTTGACGACTTTGGTGTCGCCTTTTACATTCCATATGATTAGTGTTGGTGTATAGTAAAAATGTGCCGTCTGCAATTTCGTGATTTCTCTAGAATTTTCTTTCTTAAATCCATTTCCCCAAATCAGCTTCCGCTACTTAACTCTCTGATAATAATCATGACTGGACTTGCAGAATATATCTCACAGTCAGATTTCATTTGTGCACTGAATACGAAGTTGCAACCCACGGTTGTGATATCTCATTTAGCTTAGCTATGGTATTGTCAAAATAGTTCAAAATCTATTAAGAACCTTTAAGTTACACCGCCCACCCAGTATTCAAGAAACTAATGTTATTATTAGCACCGAAATCCTGATGCCTGAAGAAAATTTCGAAATTATTACAAAATATTTTCTGAGTGCACTAATGCTCTCTTGAGAGAAGCTTATTTATGTATTATGTAGGTATTGTTATGTGACGGGAAATTCCACTACTTATCTTGGGTATCATCTGTGTTGTAGTGGACTAGAACGTGTCTCGCATACGATGTATGAAATAACAACTATGACTTCATAGTCTCTAAGTAGGAATATGCACAGAATCGTCGTTGGTATGAGCGTGTTTATTTTTATTATTATTGTTCCCTTAGGTTCATAGTGGAACATAGGACTTCGACTGCACGTCTCCATTTGCTTCTGTCTTCTGCTGCACTTTTTACCTGTATCTATGTTAGTCCTTACTGTGTTTCAACTCCTGTTCACACGATCTCCTCCATGTCACTCTTGCACTGACGTCCCACTCGCTGCATGCTTCCCTTTCGCGTTCCACTCGAGCAATGGCCTGACGCGCACGCGATGTCACTCAGCGGCCTCCTTAGCGAGTGGCCGATCTATCTCCACTTTCTCTTGCATATCTGTTTGGTTGGTTTTTGTTTTGTTCGTTTGTGCCCATAGTTTCTTGTTGGTGATTCTTTCCGGCCCGGCCATCTAATCTTCAGTATAGATCCAGAGAAGACAGTTGTTGATAAAGGTAACGTCTGCAACAGGCTGTTGGAAATATTCTTTGTGACCCGCTCGCCAAGTTTATGATCCGTATAGAAGAACTGACTGACTTGACGTGTTTGCATTGAAAATCCGACCGAATTTTGTTTTTGATGCTGGCTGAGTGAAGAAGATTTCCATATTGGTTTCAGGTTGATGAATGTGTGTTACAAGGAGATAAATCACTTATAGAACCGTTTAGATAGTGTTGACTGGTGAAGGTTTACAATCGCGTCACGGAAAGGATTCATAACTGTGATCACTTTTATTATGTAATACATTGGAAATAAAAAAACATCAGTTGTACAGGTCACATTTTTACTCTTTAACGTCTGTCTTAAATTGTTTCTACTCTTCAGGGAAACCAAAGAAGGATGTTAAATCATAGAAAGCAGCATGCAGTTGAAAGAAGAAAACGATTGCCGGCAGAGTCAAGGATATTTGTGTTCTTTTTTATACAATCATACTACTTTTTCACTACTTAAATAAACTGTTTTCTAGTACTTGAGAAGCATTTCTTATGATATAATGCGTCAGTTTCGCCATTCTGAGTCTACCGACGTCGTTATTTTTATATTCCTTCACGTTCCCAGTGGAGCATAGGGCACCTTGAAGCTAGAGACTTGAAGTTTCTGTAGCAGTGGTGTTTATTTTTACAGGATGGGGTGGCTAGCCTCATGCCCAACTTTTCCTTTTTACCAGCTGTATTACTGGGTTAGCAAGGTAAAGGAGTGAGTCGGTTGGGGATCGAGCATCGGACCACATGAGGAGGCGTGGTTGGCTGCAGGCACTCTACCTCTGTGCCACCGACATATACACACACACATAAAGATTTGAAATACACATAGCAGAGACTATGTAATAACGATAGCGACCACCATACTTAGACAAAATACACAGGCACACACACACACAAAAGCATCCAATGACCAACGCTTATACATACTTCCATACACACGAAAGCAGCATAAAGACACGAAATACAATCACAAAGAACTTGCTAAAATGCACATAGGCAAAATACTACTACTACTACTAATAATAATAATAATAATAATAATAAAATCGTACAGGGAATTGTAACACTTACCTTTCTTAACCTTCCGTGATTAGTTGATTGATTTAATCGATGAAAGGCTTCAGATAAAATATTTGGTATAGACTTGGTAGTAGAACTTCCATTAAATGATGAATAGAAGTCAGAGAATAAATGTCTTTGTAATTCAATACTGAGTAAATATGGTGTAAGATGTGAACAGTGTTCAGCGACTTCTGGTCCATTATGACCATCAAATATACCGAATGCTGTGATTGGTGAATATTTCGTGAGATATGAGATATGGGCAATATTACTTTTCGTCGTCGTTACCATTTACTAAACAGTTTCATCAAAAATATTAACGTCAGAAGCGGATTAAAGTATGTGATTCCCTTCACAAGTAACAAGTATATTATAAATCGCTGTAGCTTGTGCTCATTGACATTTTTCCTAGATGAATAGAGCCTGACCTCTCAGTGTGAGAATAGTATTTTGACGTGGTTTTGTTCTCTGACCTGGATAAGTTTACTCACGAAGCTTTTATTGCCTTACTACTGGGCAACATCTTCAGCGCATACTTCAATACGGAGTGAGACGTTTTAAATTTATCCACGAGTTTATTAATGATTGACTGTTCTTCTCCGTATTCACACCCTCCAGTCTATTGTGTATCGTGATTTGTTTGCTTCCTTGACCTGAAGTTTGACTTTTTATTATGCGTGTGATATTCGTCTCATGGATTGGTAAATTTCATCATTCATGTTAATGTGCCTGTGTTGGTCACTGATTCAGTGGAATTCCAGGCTTCTAGAAATTCCCTGGCATTTTTGGTGTTATTTCCTCTGTCTAATATTTGAACGCTGGTTGTTCCAGTTGAATAAGTGTTCGTGGTGGTTGTCTGTATGCAATGATGTGAGCGATAGAGAGTGGATATCACATCTTTTTTGACGGCTAGCTGATGATCATGAATACGAAGAAGAATGCGACGAAGAGGGCGTCTTCCACTTTGGCCAGTGAAAATGATGGGAGCTTCCGTCATACTAAGAAGATATTTGTGTGGCAAAGGCACTCAAAATATTAGACATGATAAATAATCAAAGTTGACGAATGCTCTTAAATTACTGAGACAATTATAATATGATGTACAACAAAAACACTTCTATCAAAACTACCAGGTGGTATGTGGTCAACAAGGTATATGTCCTTTAGTACTTCTTACTGAGGATTTTCTTAATGACTATATTATGGAAGGTAGATTTCCCGTCGAATATGGAAATGTGATCAGACAGATTACAAAATTTCAAGTATCGGTATGCAGGAATTTTTAATTTGATGATTAGTTATGGGATTTGATCATTAGCTGTGACATCGATTAGATAATCACTGGAAAACCACCATCTAGGAGTACTGAACAGCTAGCTGTTTCATCCTAGTGCTTGGGACTGACCGTTCATTCCTAACACCTTGTAACTAGAAGGCCTTGGCACCGAACCTTAGTGGTGCGTGTGGGTATTTCTAAAGAATTGATCACGGATTGATATCAGTTAGAGAAACATTGAAAACCAGAGAGTACTGGACAGCTGCTGTCTCATCCTAGTTTGGGAATCATCAGCAGTACGCAATCACTGGGATTAGAACCTAGGACCTTCAGGTTACAAGGCAAGCTCGTATACCATTCAGCCACTGGGACCTGATTCAATGGCTCATGAATTCTAACTTCCAGTACTCCCTGGTTTTCAATGGTTCTCTATTGATGTCAATCCGTGATCAACTCGTAAAAAAACATAACTAAACCTCACAAATCAAACTATAGAAAATTAATCTGAGGCTCGCTGGTGACTTGCTACAGCATGGAGTTTCCTGTAGTTCTGGTGAGAAGTCGTGACCAGTGAGGTCAATCAGATGTCACGTGTGTGGATGGATGTCCCACCAACGACAATGGTTAGGTTCACGCTAAATCACGAATGGATAGAAGTTAGAATTCATGCACGGGCCATCGAATTGGGTCCCAGTGGCTGAATGGTATACGAGCCAGCGTGCCTTGTAACCGTAAGGTCCTGGGTTCGAACCCCGGCTGTGGGTGCATACTGTCGATGATTCTCAAAGTAGGATGAAACAGCTGTCCAGTACTGAAGTGATGGTTTTCAATGTTTCTCTAACTGATCTCAATAGGTGATCAACTCTTAAAAAAACATAACTAACCCTTACAAACCAAACTATAGAAGATTTCTAAAGAGTCCCAAAGCTAGACTGACGAAACAGAGCTGTCTGTCCAGTACTCCCAACTGGTTTTCCAGTCATTCTCTAACTGATGTCAGCTTATGATGAAATCCTTCAGACTATAAAACTTTGGAGAAAATATCCATCAATCCATGTATAAATATACACAGAGGTATAAAGCTTCACATCCTCATATTAGTTTGAAGGTTATTCGAACAAGAAATTACGGCCTATATGTACCACGGTTTTACAAAACTACACTAACAAACTCATTTGGAAGAGCATGCGTGATAACAGCAGTAGAATGATAAGACTATCAAGAAGATTAGAACTTCTTTGAATAATTAATAATAATAATAATCATAATTTTTTCCTAATTCCAAAAACAGTATTAGTGATACAGCAAGGAATTTTCAGCATTCAGTACAATATTGCATCTAATTTACTCAAAAACGACAAAAAAATAATAAACTTTAGAGAATAATAATAATAACAAAAAGTTGTTATAGCAGCTATGTAGCAAATTACAGTATGCGATACGGAGAAGAATATGCATAAAGTATAAAATTGTAGTAATAATCGTAATAACAACTAAAATAAAACATAGCTAAGTTATAACAAAAACGATAGAAAGGGTGACACCATAAAATTACAGAAAGGTGAACGAACAATAAAAGGGTCGATTCACTTTGCTAATTACATAGTAAATTATGTATTCCATGTCTAACAGTCACATAAAATACGGGCTAAATAAGGTACTGTAGAATTTTTGTACTTAGCATATAACTTCTTATATTGACTTCTTGTCCCACCTGATGAGATGCAAGAGGATAGTTGTGAATAAAGGGGGTGAAGGGGGGGTCTAACAGTACGGCCTTTGCCCATTTTGTACAGGCTTTTATATGTCTCTCAACTATAATATTGGCCAGCTCACGCAGTGGCACACCACAAGCCCTATTCTTCACAGCATTTAATACCCTTCGTAATATGATTTAGTCTTTTTTGAGAAGCCCGGGAAAGCTTGATGGAGAACAATAGAGTACAATAGGTAAAATACAGGAGTTTAAAAATTGGAAAACCAAAGGTTGGTTGATACTTGATTGTCTTAACTTTCCAATGTAGAAGGTAAGACGAAACATTTTCTTAGAGATTGATAAGATGTGGGATGACCATGAAAGGCGAGAGAGGAAAGAACTAATCCAAGGTATTTAATGCTTGACTTGGTTTCAGTTTCAGTGCCAGCTATGCTACAGGTATGATGGGAACTAACTAGTTCATGTATGTCTCGTTGATGCTTGAAAGTGAAGTGAAGTTAACTGCCTGACATTTGGAAGGATTTAACTTAAGGCCATTTGACTTAGACCACTTAGTGATGTCAAACAGAATGCTATTAAGTTAGTTTGGAGCTGTCAGACAGGGAAGTGATAGGCAGTGATACAGTCACATCATCTGCATATTTGACAAAGTTAGTTTCGTTTAAATGAGGCAGGTGGTGTAGGAAGAAAGAAAAAAGAAAATGAGAGAGGATGGCACCTTGAGGAACACCGGATTTCGTAAGCGAGGTAGAAGAAGATTTGCCATTATATACAGTATACTGCATGCATTCTATCAGAAAAATAATAATGCAGCCAACTCTTTGGCCAGGATCCTGTTTGCGTCAACGAAAGCTTATTTAATAAAAGGCCCCTAGGTACAGAGTCAAAAGCAGATGTGTAGTCTAGGAAAGCACTACGAATATATATGGCACCTTTGTCCAAACAAGAAACAACATTATGATATAACACAACCACAGCGTCCAACGTACATCTACCATGTTTATATGCAACTGGTTTAGGATCACTAAAAGGCTTCAATGAAGGTTCAAGGTGAAGTAAAAGTAATTTTTCCATGAATTTTAAAAAAGGAGAAGTAACTGCAATAGGTCTTAATTAAATATTAAGATGCTTTTGGTATGGGCATAATTTTAATGTTTTTCCATGCAAAAGATACAACATTACGGGGAAAGATATCATTAAAAAGGTTAGTAAGACGGTAACATAAAATATCAGCACAGTTCCTGAGGACAATGGCAGGTACACCATCACGACCAACGTTTTGGGAAAGCTTAATTATTTAAAAAGGATTTCAACTGACTTAGTGTTTGTATGTAGAAAGGAATTGATGCAAGAACAAGGACGCTTATTTAATTAATTATGAGAAATACGGAATTTGTAATCAATCAACTTGTGTGTCAGTGGCTTAGCGGCTAGGGTGCTCACTGACCATGCACTTGGTCTGGGGTACGAGTCCCGGCCGACGCACTCCTTTACCTCGTCAAGCCAGAAATAAAGCTGGTAAAGAGGAAAGGTTGGTCATGAGGCTAGCAACCTCATCCTGTAAAAATAACCACCACTGATACAGCAATGTCAAGCCTCTAGCTTGAAGGTGCCCTTTGTTCCACTGGGAACGTGAAGGAAGTTTAAAAAACATCTATCAACTAAAATATTCCCATATATTATTGAGTTTTAAGAAAACAGGGACGATGTAACAAGCGAAGAAGTTTTGCCCCTTTTCAATGATTCATTATTATTGTAGCCGCTGTACAACTGTAATAATTCTACCTTTAATCAAGATTTCATTAGACCAGTCAGATACTGGTAAAATTTGTTCTTGAAAACATGTATCAGGTAATGTAAGGTGTATTCTAGATGAGATGACTAATTGTAAATTAGAAAACAAGTGGGCAAACTTTGGCATGACGCAATCAATGTTGATGCGTAGATCGGACAGGAACTTGTGGAAAGACGATAAAGTGTTTTAATATATGTGTAAAACTTGGGCACTGTGGTGGTAGTAAGTTATTTAATATTTATTTTGTTTGTCTGATGTATCACACAGTCGCAGAAAGGGTATTAGTATTACTTAGTGGATGACAGAGTTTCGAACAAAATCTATTGCTGTTCATAATCATTTCACTAATTATAATCACACGACTTCGAAACTTAAGTTTCATAGTTTTCTTTGTCCTCTCCTATTTGTCGTCGTAGGGTTAGTAGAAATTTCTAGATGTCTGACTGGACAGGTGTTGAATCATACCTATTACACGTGTTTGCAGTTGATTCGATAAACAAAGC